GTGGAAGCCCCCCCCCCGGAAACCCCCCCCCCCTCCTCTCACCCGCTAGCTCCCGACCTCAGTCAGGTCTGTGGCCACAGTCCTTAGCAGCGTTTGTGCGACTGTGAAGAGCCGTGACCACGTTGTGGTCTGTCTTCCCGACGAGACTCTGAGCCCCGCGAGGGCAGCCAGTCCCACTCCCCGCTGCTGTGGCCCCTGCACTCTAACACCATGCCTGGCACTTACCTGGTAACTTGCAAATATCGTTGGAAGGAAGCAGACTAGAGCTTAAGTGACATGTAATAGCAAGAGTGCTCCTCTGGGGCACTGGAAAGCAAAGGGATAGCATGGCACAAGTGCTGACAGCAAAGACTTTCCAGTTGGGGAACAATTCACAGAGGCAAGCTCTGTCCCCGGGTGGCTGCCATGGAGCAGGAAGGAAGCGGGGAGAGCAAACCGAGCCTGCACAAGGTGGGCCCTGCCCTGATGTTATGGGGAGATACTCACTGGAAACGACCGTGGTCTCCCCAGGAAGGCCAGTCAGCGTCACTGGGATGTGCACAGTGGTGCTCAGATCCGAGGGTTGACTGCCCATTCGAGTAACGTTCCGCTGATTATCTGCATCCTCGGGCTGTTCTTCCACCTTCTCTAGACAGGTGCTGGGCAGGGCATGCACAGGGCCCACACCCATTACCCCACTGGCTTCCAGGTCACAGTGAGACTCCCTGCAACCAAGAATGCACGTCAGAGTCTGACGAAGAGCCAAACTCCTATTCAGTCTGCAAAACCCAGCTTCTTAAACCCCTATCCAGATCAAATAAATCCCTGATCACCTCCTCTGTCATGGTTTTTATCACCCTATACATTTCTGTTTTTAGGTCTGAAAGGCAGGGACAGGGCTGACTCACCTGTTTGTCCCTGGCACAAGGCCAGGTATGGCTGATATCACATTATGTGTACATAACAGAACTGTTTGCAGAACGAAGAAGCCTGGAAGAGGATGTTACCCTAAGCCAGCCCACCTGGGGCCCCACCAGGGCAAAGGCTCAGCACAGAGCTCTGCACACAAAGACCGTGCCCAGGTCGGGCTGATCCTGAGCTGTGGCCTCTGGCTGCACGAGTTCTGGGTGGTCTGTGACTCACTGGCAAGCATGGAGACTGCTGGCCTCAGCCTAACAGCTCCTGTTACCCCTGGGTTCTCACAAAGTCACCGTCAGATCCTGTCCCAGCCAGGGACCGGGCTGGGCTGGCCTGGGATGGGGGTCCTTTCCGTCATGGCCGCATAGCCCAGCCCCCTCCCATTCCACCATTTAGTCCTGTGGCCTCCTCAGGCTTCCCTCAGGCTCTCCTGACTCGCCCTGCTTCACGGGGCTACACATTTTTCTCTTCTCCGCGGGGTACCTTTTCCAAGTCTCAGTGTCCCAAGCCAGTCCCAACACTTTCACCCGTAGCCTCCCTTCCTCCCGGGCGCCTGAGAGCGACGCTCCCCACCACGCCGGCCCAACAAGGCAGGACTGTCACCACTGCAGAAAGGGGCTGAGACAGAGGGCTGGGCCGCCCGGCCAGGTCCGCGTGCCCCTGACCTGCGTAACCCGCCCAGCCTGCCCCTCACGGGCTGCTTGGCACGTCCGGCCCAGTCACCACTGCCCCCGCGCCCCGCCCCCCCCCCCCGCCCCCCCCCCTGCCGATGCAAGGGACGCGGGTTCGTGCCCCGGTCCGGGAAGATCCCACATGCCGCGGGGCGCCTTGTGCCGCGTGCGGTGCCTCCGCGCCGGCTCCTCTCCGCTCTCCGCCTCCCGGGGGCCGCCGCGGTGCCGCGCTCGCCGCTCGCCCTTAGCCCCGGGCGCCGCGCCCTCCCTGCCCGGCTCGGGCACGTGCCGGTGCGCGCGGTGGCGCCGGGGCTCCCGCTCTGCCGCCTCCTCCGGGGAGCCGCGCCGGTGGTGGCGCCGGCCGCCGTCGGGTCCCGGGCCGCGGCCACGCTCGCTCCGGGCCGCCCGGGGGCCCGCGGCCTCCTTGCTGCGGCTGCGGCTGCGGCTGCGGCTGCGGCGCCGGCGGCCCCTCTTCACCGCGCTCGCCTCCGTGCGCCGTCCAAGCCTTCACCAGGCAGTGAGAGGGCGCGACTGCGGCTCGGGCGCAGG